TGTTATAACATCAATAAACATAATATTAGCACTCAATAGCAATAACACATCATGGCACAACTATTATTATTCAACTCACAAAAATGACGTCTTCGCCGTTTATCAATGCATCGCATCTCACACCTCACACTCCTCGGCGTCTATAAACACATACACATATACTTTTATAAGTCATTTTATCATGATCAAACTTCTAAATATGCTCAAGGTACAAAATATGACTTTAGGGTTAACTTATTTCTTTATGGGTACTTGACCCCTTTTCACTCTTTCTACCATAAATCCCAAAATACAGATTGAAATGATGCAATTATAGTTTCACATGAAACTAGACTCATAGGGCTCTAACATATCCAAAAATCAAGTCTAGGTATGAAATACACAACTCATGATGATTTTCTAAAAATCAGAGTTGCTGCCATTTGTTTATGGGTGCTTGACCTCTTGACAGTTCACACTCTTTGTACTATAAATCCTAAAATACAGAGTAAAATGACAAAATTACAGTTTTACATGAAACTAGACTCAAAGGGTGTCTAACATATCCAAAAATCAGCTCAATATTCCATATACATGATTTATTCGAGATTTTCAAACTCTAACTAGTTTCCAAGCACCCTTGTTACCGAGCAGTCTTCAAACAAACAACAATAAATCTAGATTGGGACATGATAAAGACATAATTCTTTTTTAAAAAGAACTGGACATATCAATATAAAACATATCCAAAAATCAGATCTAAATACTCAACACCCAAAGAATACCATATTTTTAAAGTTTGCACACTAATCTGCCAGCATCAGATCACCTAGAACAACATGTGTTCAAACCATCATAAACCGAAATATAAATCACTAAATACAAAAACCTTTCACAGAGACCTAGATAAGACACAAACCAACAATTTTTATTCTTACAAATTGTTCCAGATCTGAACGTAAAGTCTCGAAATCAAGAGTGCAAAACAGAGCTGGAGATGAACTTACCTAGATTTCCAGCTTGATCATCCGAATTTGGCAAAGAAATGGGTTTTTCCTCTCTTTCTCTCTCTCAAAAAGGGAAACAAGATGGGATAAGAAGAGATAATGATCAGGTAAGTAATCTTGATAAGGTTGTGAAGATATTTTGGCAAAGTTCATTTTGGTCCCTCAAGTTTTGGCTTGTTTTTATTCTAGTCCCCCAACTTAGATTACATTCAATTAAGCCCTTAATTCTTCCTATTATTTCAAAGAATTATTATCCAATACCCCACTAACATGTCATATGCAGGTATAATTATATGCGTGTAATTTCTAAGTATGCGTGTATGCATGAACAGATGTATGTTTTTAGGACGGGGTTATTACACATTTTAACCATCAATCTAATTCATCAAAACCACTTGGAACAAAACCAAGTCAATATCACATTTAGTAAAAAAAAATTTAAGTAATCCTAGTATTGTTATTTTAGTAACTCAATTAAGAATTTTCTTTTTTTGAAAATTGAACAAATAATTTAGTCTAAAAATTGTTTTATAAATTATTAGTTATCATTTGTAGATAATTATTCCTTTGGTTTCAAAATATTAATTTTTGAATAATTAATAACTAATTATTTGTTAAAAATTGAACTGATAATTTAGTCTAAAAAATTGTTTTACAAATTATTATTTATTAGTTGTAGATAATTATTTCTTTGGTTTTAAAAGATTAATGTTGGAATTATTTGTAACTATTGATTGATTAAAATTACTAATAAAATTTTACAACTGATTAAAATTAGTCATAAATTATTGATTTAGTTGTAAATAAATAGTATTGAAAAATAATATATTTATTAATGAATTAATTCGTTTCAAATTTTTTCACAAATGATTTTAGTATTATAATAATCATTTTCAATTATTTAAGTATAGTTTAGACGATGTTTGGGATAATGGTAAAAAAATATAGATAAATTATTGAAATATTTATTATAAAAATAATTTTAAGGTGTAAAAATGGTTTTTAAGAATATTTAATGTATTTATAAATTGAAAAATCAAATGCCAATAGAAATAGAGAAAAATAATTAAATAATTAATAATAATTGATAAGAATAATTAAAAATTAATTTGAAATATTTTAAATAAAAGGAGATGGAGGAAAAAAATATTAAAATATATCAAGAGAGAGGTGAGTAACGCGAGAGCGAGACAGACTCGTGAGAGAGAGAGATAATGTTTTCTATTTTTTTTAGCTTGAAAGTGACTTTCTAAAAAATAGTCTATTAATTTTTGTTGACTTGAAATCAAATTCCGTTGATTTTTTTCCTAAATATGAAACAAACATCGGAAAATAAGGAAAAATGGGAAAAACAAGTTCCTAAAACTTATTTTCTCCGAAACAAACACAACCTAAAAGGAAAAAGATTTTCCTTTTTAAAACTTAAAAAAACACTTTTTGCTTTGCATATTACATGTTATCATTATTATTTATATTTACATATTGCTATTTTAAACTATTTTGAAATTTATTATTCATCAACGATTCTATAGTAAAAATTATTTGTTTGTTCCCTTTTCATTTTATACTAATTATCACCCTTGTTTTCTTATTGTTTTAAATATTTAACTCACAATATTAATTATAAAATAAATAATAATTAAGTTATACTTTATTTGTATGAAATATTTGTTATTTAGATACTCATTTGAGAAATGAATTTTTTTTTTTTGGCATCTTACATGTTAATTTTTATAATTGATTTTTCAATACACATAAAAGACGTTAAAAAAATGTTTTTCACTCATTTTTCATTACATGACCAAATTTAATAAAATGAGCTTACTCCACGTTTGGATCCTGTACAGCTTCTAATTTTTTTGATTGAGACCCTCTATAATTTTTCAGCTTAATTGAAATCTTCTACTTTTCGAAATTTTTTGATTTAGACCCTCTATTATGACGTCATTAAAAACAACCTATAAGTGATTGACATGTGGCATCATGAGTTCTAAATAATAATCTTTCCGTCCGAATTGAAAAAAATAATTTAAATTGATTTTAACAATAAAATAATTAATAAAATTAAAAAATGAGAGGAAAAGACCAAATCAACCCAATCCATTATTTCCAAACCTTATTATTTTTTCTTTAGAAAGAAACGTCCTCTCCTTACTATCTCTCTTTCCTAGTTTCAAATTTTAAGGTTTGATTATTCACAATAATACCAATAGAAACAATCATTCTCTTTTATTGGATTATAAATTTCACTATCCATTTCATTTGGGGTCAATTTTTTTTCTTTTTTCCAATCGCAAAAAACCGACAAACTCATCAAATAAGTGGAATTCAAGAAAAGGAAGTCAATTCTTCATTTGATTTGAAAATGATTTACAATGAAGACAAACCCAAACTAACTTAAAGAACACAAAATCTAAACATAGAAAGACATTGCACTCGGAGGCTTAAAACTAAAAACTATGATAACTAACTACCTTCATTAAGCCCTCTTGTCTTTAATTACACGTGACTAACCGGATATCTTAAGCATGATAGTAACCCTCTTAGCATGAATAGCACACAATTTGGTATCCTTAAACAACCCAACAAGGTATGTCTTTGTAGCTTAAATCTGTCTTGAAATCTTAGCTAGTTCCTTTACTAGCTTTTAAAAAGACAATTTCCTTATCAATAGCTCGATGGTCTTCCGGTAGTTCTTGATTTCTCTCAAGGCCATTGTTCTTGGCCCGAAATGATGAGACTTCATCACTCCTCCGATGGTCGGAGTTGATTTCCTAGTTGTATTGATGGTTGGTTGCTTCCTTGAGGCTTTACCTCTTTTAGATTTTCTTATTGTTTGTTTGGTACAAGCCATTGAAATGATTGACTTAGAAAATTGGGTTTTCGGGCTTGTGGTTGTTTTTCAAGAAAATTACGACACTTAAGTTTTGATTGTTTTTGGTTGGGTAGCGAGTTGAGTTCGATGAATTTTATGTATGAGAGTGAAAATGAGGAAGGAAATGATGAAATAGATGTTGAAATTAGGACATGTGTTTAAGAAATAATAGGGATTTTTTGAGAAAGAAAGTGAAAGAGAAAGGGTGATGAGAGAGAGAACGATTTTTTGAAAAAAAAAAAAGTAGATTAGGAGATAATGGAGTGGGGATGATTTGGTCCTTTCTTTTTTTTTTAAATTTTACGAATTATTTTATTGCTAAAATTAGTTAATTTTTTTTTTGTCAATTTAGATAGAAAAACTATTATTTAGGACCAATGATGTCACATATCAATTACTAATAGGTTGTTTTTAACGATGTCGTAATGGATGGTTTAAATAAAATTTTTTTGAAGAACAAAGGATTTTAATTAAGTTGAAAAACTATAAATGGTTTTAATTAAAAAATAATGAAATCACACAGGGTCCAAATATGAGGTAAATTTATAATAAAATAAAATGAAGCCTCAAATAATTCTATTATTTTGGAAAATTTAATAACTCAAAAATATAATTTTCTAACTCATTTTCAATTATAAAACCAAATATCGCAAACATTAGAAAGGATCCGTTTTTACTTGGAGCTCACTTTTGAAAAATATTTCACTTCTGGTGAACAACGGGGTCTAAGAATGGTGAATGGAAACCATAAAAGCAGGTGCAGATCACGTGACAAGGATTTTCCCCATAGAATACAGCAAGTTGCAAAAATGACAAGGTTCCACTTTCAAAAACTCCAGCACACCAAATCACAACCGTCCATACAAATCAAAACAAATCTCAACCCTCCAAATAGCATAATCTCCAACATTATTATCCCACAGAATTCCCCTCCTCTCCCTCTCTCTAACCATAAAAATTCTCTCTCAAAAAGTCGCCCCCAAACCGAAACCCTCAATTTTTTTTTCTTCACCAAAATCCCAAAACCCCGCAAAACCCTCCAAAATTAAAAATCCCTAAAATTTCAAAAATCCAAAATCGCTAATTCAAAGAGAAAGACTTATTTACAGCTATATATTTAAACAATATTATTATAAGCAATGGATTCAGATCAGGGAAAGCTATTTATTGGAGGGATTTCATGGGAGACATCAGAGGAGAAGCTCAGAGACTACTTCATCCCATACGGCGACGTTTTGCAGACTGTCGTTATGAAAGATAAGACCACTGGTAGACCTAGAGGCTTTGGCTTTGTCGTTTTTGCAGATCCTTCTGTTCTCGATAGGGTTCTTCAAGATAAGCATACTATTGATGGTAGAACGGTGAGTTAAAGCTTTTATCTTTTTTCATTTTTAGGGTTTTTGTGTCAGTGCGGTAATGGTTTTTTTTTTTTTTGGATTTAATTTTGTTGGGGTCTTGGTTGTATTGAGCATTAGTTACTGCAATTGTTGAATCTCATTAGGGTTCTTGAGCTCTTGTTTTATGATAACAATTTTGTTGGGCGCTGGTGATGGTGTTCCTGGCCGTTTGTTTTGGGTATTCGTTTATTTTTGTGAATGATTGATTTTGTATTAATTTAGTTGTATTTTTGCGAATGGTTAATGATATACATGCTGCTATTGAGTTGCTCAAATGAGTTAGTTGACGGGAATGGTCAAAGAAATGCTGTGGAGATCATCTTATAACTGTTCTTCCTCTAAGGTTGTAATATATGTGACATGGAACAGAGAAATTGATTCCTGTGAGTTGTTGAGTTGGAATGCTGGTTTTAATTTCCAAATTATGCGAGGGTTATTGCTTCTTCTGGTCTGTGATTTGGGCCAGTAAGCTAAGAACGTGTGAAAGAGACTGGCCCTTTTGGTTTTTGAAGAATTTGTGACCTCTTTGATTGATTTATTGAGTTTCACTTATTGATTTTTCACTAGTTTTATGGACTTGTAAATGTAGTACCACTTGATATGTCTTGATCTATAGAAATTTTGATCTATGATAATAAGCATATCCCCATGTATGAGCCCATCTTTGATGTGTGTTCCCTTTTTTCATTAGTTTTATGGACTTTGTAAATGCAGTACAGTTTGTTAAGTCTAATGATAACCTACAGAAACTTTGATCAACGATAATAAACATATCCCACACTCGAGCCTATCTTTGGATCTGTGTTCCTGCATAATAATTTTTTTATTCAGGTGAGGTAAACCTCTGGAACCGTCTGCAGCTCAGACACTGTTAATGAGCCCATGTGATATTTTGCATTATTCTTCGAAGGGGTGGGTTTGTGCCTTTTAATGCTGTTGAAAAGGATGTGCCAATCAAATTTGCACATATTTAGCCAATTAAGTGAATAAATCAATAGATTACACAGACAGTTTCATGTTATTCAGGAGTCTTTTCAGTGAGTACAAATTGTCTGAAGTGGTGTTATGTGTGCTTGTAGCTGTTTGTTTCTAGTTGCTCAACTACAGAGGTTTGTCAAAGAAGCTATTCATCTTTATTCAGTGAGTTGTTCAAATTTTATTATTGTTTTATCCATCCCTTGTTTTGATAAGCTAGTGTACCAGGTAGACCAACTTCTGCAAACAATTTTAGGTCAAGATTCCGGCCTTATGTTGCTGTTATATGTGCCAGTATTTACAGCTGACACCAAGTCAAATATCCTTATAGATTGATTCTTTGATAATTCTACTTGTATAATAATATGAGTTTATGGATATAAAGTCCATCTTTGTGAGAGTTGTTTATCTCTTTTAGTGGTTACTATGCTTGTCATATATAGAGAATCTACTTGTACAAGTTTTAGAATAAGGTAATCAGATAAGATATCTTGGTAATTCTGCATGATCAAACAAGTTTACTGCTTCCAATTTGTGTTCCTGCGTTCCAACCAGTTGCTTTGGTTTTTCAGGTGGAGGCAAAGAGAGCCTTATCGAGAGAGGAGCAGCAAACCAATGCCAGGGCTGGAAACCTGAATCCTGCTCGAAACACCAGCGGTGGTGGAAATATCCGCACCAAGAAGATATTTGTTGGAGGATTGCCTCCCACCCTAACTGAAGATGGATTTCGTCAGTATTTTGAAGCTTTTGGCCTTGTTACTGATGTAGTAATAATGTATGACCAGAGTACTCAGCGACCTCGTGGATTTGGCTTCATTTCCTTTGACACTGAAGATGCAGTTGACCGGGTGTTACAGAGAACGTTCCATGATTTGAATGGTAAGCAAGTTGAGGTAAAACGGGCTCTTCCTAAAGAGGCCAATCCTGGCGGGGGTGGCCGCTCTATGGGTGGCAGTTACGGGAGCTATGGTGCTTCTGGTGGCAACTCAAACTCATATGATGGTCGAGCGGATAGGTATATTCAGCCTCAAGGCACTGGAGGTGCTTTTCCTCCTTATGGCTCATCTGGCTATAGCACAGCTGGATATGGATATGTTCCTGCCAATAATGGTGTTGGTTATGGTGGTTATAGCAGTTATACTGGAGCTGGTGCTGGTTATGGGGGACCTACAGGTGCAGCCTATGGGAACCCTAATGTTCCAAATCCTGGATATGCAAGTGGCCCACCTGGTGCACCCAGAAGTTCATGGAATAGTCAAGGTTCATCTGGCTATGGTGCTATGGGTTATGGGAGTGCTGCTTCTTGGGGTGCTCCAACTGCTGGTGCTGCCAGTGTAGGCCCTGGTTCAGCACCTGCCGGTCAATCTCCTGGTGGAGCTGCTGGATATGGGAATCAAGGTTATGGGTATGGTAGTTACAGTGGAAATGATGGATCTTATGGGAATCCAGCTGGGTATGGTGCTGTTGGAGGACGTTCTGGGGGCACTCCAAACAGTAGTGCTGGTGGTCATGGTGGGGCAGAACTACAGGTGAGTGGGGGCGGCTACATGGGGAGCGGATATGGTGATTCAAATGGAAGTTCTGGGTATGGAAATGCAGCATGGAGATCCGAGCAATCACAAGCTTCCGGGAATTACGGGGCCCCTCAAGCAAATGGTCCTCATGGTGGACAGGTTGGATATGGTGGTGGTTATGGTGGTTCTCAGGGCCGACAAGCCCAGCAACAGTGATTTGTGAACTCCTTAGTTGCCTATCTTTGTTTGTCGGCATGTCCGGCTGTTCTCATGAGGTTCTCTGAAGATTTCTCGCCCCCAGCACCGGGGGAGTTGCACAAATTGGATGATGCACTTTGGGAATGGTTGGATTGCTTAAATCCCAGTAGTTTGCACTATCTATTTTGCTAGTCTATAATAAGTAGTTCAAGGCGTACTAGATGCCCTTCTTATTTAATGTTTGCTTATTGAGTGTAGTTCTTAATTCGGCGTGCTTACAATTATCTGCTAGCTGTTCTGGAACTTTTCAGCTCTCTATCGTAGTGTTTAATCTACTCAGCATATAATATCTGTGTTGGTTTGGTTTCAGCTGTGTATTTTTTTGATGGCTTCTTTGCTAGTGCACACCTTGGTCAGTTTTTGACTCGGAATAAGATGCTAGAGGCGAATTCTAGAACTTGATATGCTTGATTTAATATGACAAGTAGGCTTACAGAGATTGAATTGAGAGTTTTTAACTGATAGCGGTGGAGCTATAAGCACTTGGATTGATCTCTTCGTAAATGGGTAGCGTTAATCATAGTGGTAGTTGACACTTTGAAGATGACATAATCATTTTCCCCCTGTATTTGCCCTTGTGTTGTACAGGAGGAGATGCTCGAGTTCTAAGGTGGAGTCAAAGTGTCGACTCGTGGCTGAACCCGAGCTTCCTAGTGGGGTTTGTCCGGTATGGGGGTTTGTTCAGCGAGGAAGTGAATTTGAAGAGGACTTGTCAGTTGGATTTGTGATTAACCCAAGAAAGACTTTTCCAGCTAGGCGATGCCACTGTCACCTTTTTTCGCAGATTCTTGGCATATGAAGTCATAAGTTTCTCAATCATTCCGGTTTCTTGTGGACTGATGGATTTGTAAGACAAAACAGCTTGCGGTATGTTGGCTTAATCAGTTAGCTCTGTTACATGTCAAGATCTTACTACCTTGTTGTTTAGGCTACATAGTTATGCGCTGGACTAGATCATGCGTCATAGATCATGTGTCATTCCAATTGTCTAGGGCACCCGAAGCAGGTAGATCGTGGAATAATATTGATGGCTTTAATTACATTTTATGGCAACTTATCTTTAAATGGCAACTTATCTTTAATAGGAAACAAGAAATATGCAAATGGTGTTCTTGCTCGTCTAATTGGATGCATTTTTATCAATAGAAAATGTTAGTAGATCCTGGAATGACGTTGATGACTTTAAGTACATTTTATGGCAACTTATCTTTAATAGGAAACAAGAGAAATATGCAAATGGTGTTTTTGCTTGTCTAATTAGATGCATTTTTCTACTATTAATTAAGAGTCTTGTGGTGTTTTAATTTTATTTAAGAGTTGCCATGACCAGTGATTTTTTTCCATCAATGGGCAGATGTCTGTATTTGTTTATTATAACCAGATGGAAAACACTGTTCAATTTTAAAATTTATATTCTATGGTTGTATATTCCCTTTTGATTCTGATTTTTGGGAGACTTATTCCGAGCTGTATTGAATCTATTTTTCGGCTGGTTAGAAAAATGTTGGTTTAAATTGCATGATTATTTTTAGGATATATAGCTTGGATTTGCAGAAGCATGCTTTACACGCTATATTTGCTGATATTGAGTGGGTAGTAGGATGTGTCCCTTCAATTTAACAGTTCAACTATTAGCAACATGTACATTTCAGGTTGAATGTACTGAAGGGATAGCAAAGCGGTTGTGAAGACATTAGAACAGTCATTGTCCAACCGTTTTTGTTTGGTCTACCCCTTGATGCTTGTGCCAGCGCTGATGTTCAATATTTGATTGTGGGTGAAGGGTGAAATTTTTGTAGATGCCATGTGATTTTTATTTTTTCTTTTTTCTTTTAGCCAACGTCGTGTTTTTCTGTCTTCTATTTCGAGAGAAAACAGTTTGCTTTTCATCAAGGGTAGACCAAACAAAAATAGTAGGACAATGATTGGCTCTATTTGCTATAAAATCTGAATTCTCAGTGACTTAAATTTGGAACTATCTCTGTTTGCTATTTATAACTCTTTTTGACTGTCTGTCTTCAAGTACTATTGATCTTAATGAGGCAAAACTAGTGCGTTAATCTTTTATTTGTGCTATCATCCTATTTTTCCACAGTATCCTTCCTCATGGAAACAAGCCTCTTATGTCTTTATTTTTTATCTTAACCATAGTTTTTGTGTGTAATGATCATTCTATTCCATTTTCGTGTGGCGGATCATTAGGCTTCTCCGAAAATGGCAAAGTGTGGAATATATATTATTAACTTGCTGCATAACATGGTAAACCTTTCTATATCTAAGATGGTGCCATGCTTCATTAGTTATTTGAGATTGGGGTGGTCCATGCCTCTGTATGTCTTTGCCCCCTGTTTGAACATGTGGCAATGTAAATTTCAAGGGTCAAAATATGTGCTCTACTGCACTCGTATTCTCTGTAATTCCATTATCTTCCTAAAAAGAAAACACAGAAATAGGCCAATTACCAGTTTTTACTGATGTCGAACCGAGGGGATTCAGTCATTGCATCAATGAAAAGCACATTTTAAATGAGCGATCTCATCACAACATATTTATAAACATTGGAGTTATATAAATTTTAAGATTTTAGATCTAAAAAGAAAAATTCTATTCTATTCTAAAATAATTGTTTAGAAATGATTTTTGAGGTTTGGTTTGAGTTTATAAAGCTTTAGTGAGTGTGTGGATGTGCTTTTTAGGTGAGAAAAAAAAAACACTTAAAATATGAATATTTATTTTTTTTAATGGTAGCCTGATAAATTTGACAGAATATGGAATTTTTGGCAGAATCCGAAGGGAACTGGACTAGATGCAGTTTGGTCCCTAAATATCTAGATCCTCTGTTTTTATATATTGTTCATTTTGATTCTCAAACTCTTAATTACTTCCCATAACATGCTAGTTCAATTTTTTTGCTTTCTCAAAGTAAAATGGATTCCTGTGGGAGTCATGTTTATTCCACACAATGAAATGATACATAAATTATTTTTTTCATATAACTAAACATTATAAATTCTTAACTACAAAGTAACACTTATTAAATTTGTTCTCTTTTTTCTCTACCTTTTGTTCGGTCTTTATTAGAAAAAAAATTAAAAAAATTACATCTTTATGTTCATCATTTGAGGAAATTATAGCTTTGAATTCAATTTGTTTGATATAATATTACTGCATTCATTCTTCATTTTTCTCTCTTAAATTTTGTGATTCCTTATTAGTGCATTGCATTCATTATAATAATCATAAGTCATTATTGTGGTCAATTTCATTGCATTTAGAATTAAATGCAATATATATATTATTAAAACATGCTTCCAAAACACTATTCATTGAATGCGCGGGGGGGGGGATGTGAACCATTTACATAAATCAGGTTAATAGTTTAGGGAGTCTCTCTCCTGTTTGTTTGTTTGGTTTTTTTTTTTTTTTGATCTTAATCTTGTCTCTTTACTAATTTTTTTCATTAATAACACCCCAAAACATTAACTTTGCATCTTAATTTTGTCCTTCCATTCAAATTTTCGGATAACGACGTCAATCTAGTTTCAAATCTCTCTTTACCTAACCCTAATTTTCTTTCTCCTTCTCCCTTCAATTATCAAATGGAAAAACAAAACACAGCCCTTTTTTCTTCTTCTTCATTAACCTATACTACGAGCCTTTTTTTCTCTTCTATCTCATTCTTCACCCTCTCTTCTCTTTGTGTTCTCTCACCTTTTCTCTCACATTAGCTTTATAAAGTTAAAGAAAAGCCAACAACTATATAAGAAAAAATATATATACATACAAGAGAAGATTTGTACCTTGGGTGGAGATTAGGTATGTCATTATTTTATTTTATTTTATTTTTTTTGCAAATTAATTAAGTTCCTTTTGGCTTTTGAAATTTTTGTATGCCGGTGGTCTCTTATCTTTTTATTTATTTTTTATTTTTTCTATCATTGTCTCTCCACAATAGTCCCTTTATATGGGTAAGTTAAGGCTTCATATTTGAGGAAAATTACATAAAATATTTAGAGGTGCAAGTTTGGTTATGATGTATGAAAGGAGTACAATGGTCGTTGTTAACATTGATGAGGATCATTTGTATTTTTTTTGGTTTACTGAAGCTTGCCAAGACACAAGGTTATACAAATATAACATGTGTGTATTATGAGGATTTAAAACTAGGTAATAATTTAACAAAATATCTTAGGTTAATATATGATGGTAGAAGTCTATGTCTTATGATTGACATGATAATGAATACGGAATACGTTGATGTGTATTATGAACATGGTGACAAAAAAAAATTATAGTTTAATGTGAATAATCCAAAGGTTATATGTGAAAAGTTTGGTATTGATGTGAATGGTAGATTTGGTTAGGGTGTAATTTCTACTAGTGAAAGTTTAAGTCATAGTGTCGTTGAAAATAATGAGGTTGCAGATGATGAAGTTGAAATTATTGAGAGAGTAATCGAGAAGAATAATGAGCAAACAAGAGAGAGGGATAATAAAGAGGCGAATTATAATGAGTAACATGAGCAAATCAAAGAAGAGACAATAGAGGCAAAGTTATGACTAGAAACATAAAGATGATGCCGAGGAGGATTAAGTAAGAGGTGAAGAAGATATTGATTTTAAATGTAGCTAGCTAAGTGACAATAATGATGAAAAGGTGCAACATGCAAGGAGTTGTGTTAACGAGTAGAAAACATGATTTTAAGAAGATCAAGACATTGATGGAGGGGAAAGAAGCTGAAAAATATGAAGGGCAATGAAGATGATGGAAATGAAGAAGACAATATAGATTATAATATAAAGGGGAATGCGATTAGGAATGCAAATGATAGTATAGATAGGATTGGTGAGGAAATTATAGAGGTGGATACTAAAAAATATGAAAGGTGTTGGTGAGATAATTATGTTGAGGGAGATGTTAAAAGATTGGAGAGAAAAAATGAGTATGATGATGATGATGAAAGAGTGACCTATTTATCAATAATTAATAATGATTTGGATGTAGAAAATGATAAAAGGACGACAATGAAAGACTATTATGCACGATACTAAGAACGAAGTCCCTCACTTCAGCATTAGTATAATGTTTTTGAATAAAATAAATAGTTAAGACAAGTCTGTTATAAAGCATTCAATAAAGCATAAAAGAGCTATGAAGTTTATAAAAGATGATTATGTTAGTGTTAGGGATGAATGCAAGGATAAAGATTGCAAATGGACTTGCTTGCATTATTTGCATAGTGGGATATCAAGCTAGATGGTGAAGATTTATGAGCCATACCACACATGTTATGTCGACTTCATAAACGAGATGATTTAATTATAAGATATTGGCTGATGAGTTAATAAAAAAACATGAGAGATTGTGTTTGAAGATGAATTTAAGAGAAATCGTAGTGCAAGCTTATTGAGGTTTTGGCTAAAGATCTCATTAATTCAAGCTACTTCAACAAAAAATAAGATTATCAAGTTATTGTGTGGATACATAGAGATGAAATTTGCATAATCTAAAGATTATATTGAAGAACTAAGACAAAGTAACAAAGACAACACTATTATTGTGGAATCTAATTTAGATGCCAATAAATTCATAAGAATGTATGTTTGTTTCGGTGTAATGAGAAAATGATTTTTAGAAGGATGCAATAAGATTATTAGTATTGATGGATGTTTTCTAAAAGGTGAATTGAAAGGGGAGTTGTTGGTTGTAATGGAAAAAGATGCATACAATCAAATATTTTTTATATGTTAGGATGTGGTCAAATGGGAGAATTATAAAACTTAGAAATAGTTCTTGCAA